AGCCTGTCATTGATTTGTACAGGCTGCAACCTATGGATATAGCAAACATCTACCACTCCTAGGTGCAGAATATACTTCTTCATGAAACTCTATGGCCCTTTGCAGCCATGGATTTAATGCAGGCCATACAGGGGTCACATTCTGAACAATTTTTTTTTTAGAAAATTGGAAATGTCGTGCATTTTGTAATCAGATGGTGCCACCATTGATTTCGAAAATTTGACCAACCAAGCCTTTAATTTCACCTCATTGCTACAGAAAAGAATTTTCGTGACAAAGAATTTTCTTTTCTTTTTAGGTCGCAGCTCATGCTCATTTCGTTTTCGATTACATTTCTTGCATGATTCTCCCATCATTGATTATAAATTCATTTGTTTTTCAAAACATTTACAGCATGCCCAATCACTCGAATTTGATGGTCACTCGAAAATTGGCCATGGCTGTGGCCCACTAGCGGTGCAAAATTCAAAAGAAAATTCTTAATAAAGATTTTAAAAAGAAAAATCTTTCGGAATACGACCCATATATGGCCAGCTTAACATACACACACTCAAATTACATTATTAGACATTAGAAATTAGAATTTTTTTTTTTTAAGTCCGCAAACGTGCGAATAATGAAAAAACCCGTAAGTGTTCACAAAAAAAGTGCACTTAGGGGTGTGCTTTGTCCTTCCCCCGAAGGGAATGCATCTCTACCCTGATCCCCCGGGGCACGAAGCTCCTGACGGGGACAAGGCTCCCATTTGGTCCACTTAGCCAAAAGGCCTGGCGTACCACCGTTCCTTGTGGCCAGCCGAAGCCAGCCACTCAGTACTTGGCCAGGGGGTTCTCCCGAAGAGAAAAACCCCCTAGGGACAGGGGAAGAAGGAACCAAAGGGCCACACATCCTCCCCCTAGACTTCAGGGCAGGCCCGAGGACCCACACCCTCCATCCTGGGAGGAAATAAAACACACACATAAGAGTGAAAGTGACAAAACGTGGGAGGAATATAAATTAAAAAAAAATAAAAAATAAAAAAGTGGTCGTGCCAAATTGTGCACAGACCAGGCCATGAGGCCTGTATCAAAAATTGCCCCGGTCCTAGCCAGAAGGCCTGGTCCTGAGGGTGCTGTGCAGAAAAAGTGGTAAACACAGTGGCCATGTGCCTTTTCACACTGTGGGGTCCCACACCCAGGTGTTACTAAGAGCACCCCTAAGGCGACCACTCAGGGGGCACTGGTTTGCGGACTTTCTGCCTTCCCGGCCCCTGGCCAGACCGAAGTAGATCCGCTCTAATCAGGAGGTACTGGGCCCCTCTGACGTTCCAAAGGGGAATTACTCCCGGGCCCCAACTACAACAATGGGCTCCCAGTTTCTGTTCCCCCCGTAATAACCATCAGGGCCCCCATCATACCAGCAGGGGTACTATACAACCCCCAGTCATCCCCGCAAAGCTAGAATGACCGTGGGGCACCCCTGCTGGACACTGATAAGAACATATACTACACTTGATCTTAGCCAAAAGGCCGAGAAGCGATTTCTAGAAATTAGTAATGTGCACTACAACAGAGGTGATGATGAACGGTATGTGTTGTTGCATTACAGTGCACCAACACACTGCTCCCATTCACAGAAGCAAATTCATGTTATGGTGCACATAACCCATGTACATTGTGCACAAACACTGCACTTCTAAGTGCAATGCATCGCAGTGACTGATTTGGTTTCTTATTTTATTTTTTTATTTACATTAATTCAATTCTATGTGCAATAGTGCACAACACTGAAGATCAGGCATTATCGCAACAATGTGAAATCAGCTTCTAGATTTTTTTTACAATAAATGAATACAACCTTATAGATGAGAGCAATATAAGGATAAAAAAAAAAGAACTGTGTGTGAAATATCCAAAGGGGAGTTCTCTGTATTACTCCAAAAATAAATGGAAAGCAAGGGACATACAATACATTCAATTGTAATGCTAATGTATTCAAAGGACAAAGAAGTGTTTATTTATAGCTAAGTGGCCATGCTATATATAAACAATGCTGTATATACTGTATATAAAATAGGTATACATGTTATATGCAGCATAAAGCAAAGCATCACAAAGAAATACAAAGTATTACGCTGTATTACCCCAGATAACAGCAAGGGGGAGAAGGCGAGATCTCAAAAGAATAGGGATGCTTGGGGTGCAAGATGCTTTCTTCAGCAGAGACCTGCTGAGGATGTGACAACCCAGCTCCTAAAATGACTGCAGACTGCCGGACAGAAGCAGGAAGTGATGTCACAGACACATGTGGTGACGCTACTTATGTGACAAGTTCTGAGCTCTGCCAAGAAAGTAGGACAGAAAACACAGACTGCTATTTGAATGACAATTGCGCGGTCATGCAACACTGTACCCATATGACATTTTTAGCAATTTTTTTCACACAAATAGAGCTTTCTTTTGGTGGTATTTTATCACCACTGCTTTTTTTATTTTTTTTGCACCATAAACGAAAATAGGCTGAAACGTTTGCAAAAAAAAAGTGTTTCTTTGTTTCTATAAAAAAATTTTTCAAAAAGGTAATTTTTCTCATTCGCTTATGTGCGTTGATGAGGTTGCACTAATAGGCAGCACTGATGGGCACTGACAGGCAGCACTGATGGGCACTGATAGGCTGCACTGATGAGGTTGCATTGATAGGCAGCAAAGGTGGGCACTGAGAGGCGGCACTGATGGACACTAATAGGCAGCACTGAAGGGCACTGATTGATGGCACTAGCTGGCAGCACTGACTAACAGCACTTACTGGCAGCGCTACTGGGCACGTTTGAGGCTGCCCTGATTATCAGTGTAGATTAATCCTTTCACAGTTGCTGGTTATTGGAAGGTACTGCCAATAACTGGCAAGTGCATTTACATGCTGATCAGCTGCGATTGCACACAGCTGATCACGTGGTAAAAGGCCGTTGTGATTGGCCCTTTACTGTGTCATGTGATCAGCTGTGTCCAATGCTGGGGGCCATCATATGACTCCCTCCCAGAACTGGATGACCGCGCTGTAGCTGTAATTTGGCTACATTACGGTCAAGAAGTGTTTAATAATACCAGCATGAAATACAGGCAGTAATCAGCAAGCAGCGTGTACAGGAGTGGGTGGGTGGGGGCCATAAGTCATCCTGGAAACTGTGGGGAAACTTTAGACTATCTATAAAAAAACAGATAAGGAAAGTACACTAAATGTGTGTAAATAGATATATTATGTACTATACAACAAATATGGGTGGTTATTATACAAAAATGTTTTTCATATTACAAGCCATTAAGTCCCCTGGGAGACAAAGTTCCAATGTATATCTAAACAATTATTTTTAAGATACTTATTCTAAGAAGGTAACACCTGTTTTAATTCTCTGAACCTTTGCTATCGCTCTAACTCTCAACTGAGAGGGAATGTTTCCAAACTTTGCCAAACGGCGGGCAATGGGACATATGAATTCATGATGAAGAAACTCTGGTGAAGACTTTACATGTAAGCAGATTTCCTGTGTGGTGTGGCCCAATTAGCTCAGAGCACAAGGGACTTAAAGTGGATCTGCACTACGTCTGAGCACCACAAACCAAAAATACTATTTAATGAATTGTTAATATTCAAAGCAAACTCAGCCATCCATCCATGTCTCCATGGTTTACATTGCTGAGAAATAATTTTGAAAAACACCCCCTGGCATTTCTGGCAGTGGCCATCTTGAGTAAGGGCCGATGATTAATGTAGCATTTACTTCCTGGAATCCATCTGCCCTTAGCTCAGGCATTGCTGAGCTGAGAACCCTCCCCTCCTGAAGACTCCTGGGACATCATTTGCCTAGGCAGGAACCAGGAAGTAGCTGAAGAAATGTAAAAAAAAGTTTAAAACAAGTAAATATGATATACTTTGCTATCCATTTACTAATGCTAGCAGCATAAGGATTAAAATAGTCAGTGTTGATTGAGAGAGTGAAGTTCCACTTTAAGTAGGTATAAAACATCCATAGTACCACAGCTGTAAAACACAGGGATAGGAAACCTCTCATCTGTGCATAAGTGGCTGAAAGAATTACTTTAAATAACAAAGTTACACTGCATATAGTGTTCGCATGTAAAATTTCCCCTAGAAGATGAAGCAAGCCTTGATTCCCTTTTCTGGAAGAAAAAAAAAACAGTATGGACAAGATTTTCCTGGAGCATTTATATGCCAGAAGATGTAGTTCTTGAAAGGTATCAGACAGATGGGATCACTGGAGAGAAGCAGCCAGTGTTTGCAAACGACAGAATAGTCATGCCTAGAATAAGAGGAAAAGATGAGTACTAAGAGGATGCAAAAGGCATGTTGCCTAGGTTTGAATTTCAAATGTGAGTCCCTAGTGCATTGTCAGGCTCTCTTGGCAAGCAGATGGAATATCATGTACTTTTTCCTTAAACTGTTCAAAGGAGCTAATAATGTACTATTTTCACAACTATCAATGAGCCTACAAAATCACTGGTACCATTCTTTCATTTTACTGGTCCTCTGTTTTTTTTTTTTTTTTTTTTTTTTTTTTTATGGTTCGTGGGATCATTTACAAACTCAAAAAGCTGTGAGTGAGAAATCAACAAAAGCGAAAAGTGAAAAATTGCAAAATGGTCTGGTCACATGAGGTTAAATGTGGAGTGCAGGGCCGGCAGTGAAAGGGTTAAACCCCGACCAATTTCTGCAGAAAGCTTCAGCTTTAAATACATCCTCTCTCTAGTGCTTTCACTGTCTGTAGAAGAACATTTTGTTTCATTTTTAAGTGCAGTAATGCATTTGTGTTAATGAGTTACAAAATATGAGACAAAAACATTCACGAATAGAGGTTTTCAAAGGTCCTGATTAGAGATGAGCGAATTATTAAAAAATTCGATTCGGCTGATTCGGCGAATTCGCGGAATAAATTCGATTTGAGTCGAATATATTCGCTGCGAATTTAACTTATAAAAAGGGTGTTTCTAGGCTTCAGAGAGACTTTATATTAGTGCAGAACACTGTACCTTTAATTTAAATGCCCTTGGAGTCTGCTGGGGAAAAGAAATAATACTGTCAGTCAGTATGACATGCAGATGAGTGCCGTCGATCTTAGAATCACCGCACACTTTACTCATTTGGGCAGTCACGGGGCCAAAACCAGAGTGTGGAGCCACAGTGTGGCGGTGGAGGCAGCAGCAATGGGAGGCCATACAGCACCCTATGACAAAATGGAAACCCACCAGCAGTGTGAGGAGACCTGAAAGTGGCACATGGCAGAGTGTGGCGATGGAGACAGCAGCAATGGGAGGCCGTACAGGGACCCATGACACACTCTGGACCTGGCAGCAGCATGAGGAGGCGGTACAGGGGCCCATGACAGATTACGGGCCTGGCAGCAGCATGAGGAGTCGGTACGGGGGCCCATGGCAGATTACGGGCCTGGCAGCAGCAATGGGAGGCCCATAATCTGCCAGCACCCTATGACAAAATGGAACCCACCAGCAGTGTGAGGAGACCTGAAAGTGGCACATGGCAGAGTGTGGCGATGGAGACAGCAGCAATGGGAGGCCGTACAGGGACCCATGACACACTCTGGACCTGGCAGCAGCATGAGGAGGCGGTACAGGGGCCCATGACAGATTACGGGCCTAGCAGCAGCAATAGGAGGCCCGTAATCTGCCAGCACCCTATGACAAAATGGAACCCACCAGCAGTGTGAGGAGACCTGAAAGTGGCACATGGCAGAGTGTGGCGATGGAGACAGCAGCAATGGGAGGCCGTACAGGGACCCATGACACACTCTGGACCTGGCAGCAGCATGAGGAGGCGGTACAGGGGCCCATGACAGATTACGGGCCTGGCAGCAGCATGAGGAGGGTACGGGGGCCCATGGCAGATTACGGGCCTGGCAGCAGCAATGGGAGGCCCGTAATCTGCCAGCACCCTATGACAAAGTGGAACCCACCAGCAGTGTGAGGAGACCTGAAAGTGGCACATGGCAGAGTGTGGCGATGGAGACAGCAGCAATGGGAGGCCGTACAGGGACCCATGACACACTCTGGACCTGGCAGCAGCATGAGGAGTCGGTACGGGGGGGGCATGGCAGATTACGGGCCTGGCAGCAGCAATGGGAGGCCCGTAATCTGCCAGCACCCTATGACAAAATGGAACCCACCCAGCAGTGTGAGGAGACCTGAAAGTGGCACATGGCAGAGTGTGGCGATGGAGACAGCAGCAATGGGAGGCCGTACAGGGACCCATGACACATTACTCTGGACCTGGCAGCAGCATGAGGAGGCGGTACAGGGGCCCATGACAGATTACGGGCCTGGCAGCAGCATGAGGAGTCGGTACGGGGGCCCATGGCAGATTACGGGCCTGGCAGCAGCAATGGGAGGCCCGTAATCTGCCAGCACCCTATGACAAAATGGAACCCACCAGCAGTGTGAGGAGACCTGAAAGGGGCACATGGCAGAGTGTGGCGATGGAGACAGCAGCAATGGGAGGCCGTGCAGGGACCCATGACACACTCTGGACCTGGCAGCAGCATGAGGAGGCGGTACAGGGGCCCATGACAGATTACGGGCCTGGCAGCAGCAATGGGAGGCCCGTAATCTGCAGCAGCACCCTATGACAAAATGGAACCCACCAGCAGTGTGAGGAGACCTGAAAGTGGCACATGGCAGAGTGTGGCGATGGAGACAGCAGCAATGGGAGGCCGTACAGGGACCCATGACACACTCTGGACCTGGCAGCAGCAAGAGGAGGCGGTACAGGGGCCCATGGCAGAGTGGCGAAGCGTAAGCAGCTTAATTGAAGGCCATACACAGGCCCCTATGTTAAAAATAAACCCACCACATGTTTGGGGCATGATTCATGGCGGATTTAGTCAGTTGTGTGTCAGGAACTGGTGGTTTGAAATCCAGACTAATCCACGCCTGATTCATTTTCACAAACGTGAGTCTCTCCACACTTTGGGTGGACAGTCGTGTCCTCCGCGGAGTTAAAATACCTCCTGCCGCACTAAACACGCGCTCCGATGCCACGCTACTGGGGGCCGGGCATGACAGCCTTTCAAGGGCAAATTCAGCTAGTTGGGGCCAAAGGTCAAGTTTCGTTGCCCAGTAGTCAAGGGGATTGTCTACCTCGGTTGACAGGGTGCTGTCCAAGTAGGCCCAAGCCTGTTGTTTGAGGTCCTGCTCCAGGTCCACCTGATGCTGCTGCTGCTGCTGCGGCTGGTTAGTAGTTTCCTCACTGCGCTGGTGAAGAAAGCTACTCATCATCGACTGCAGACTGAGGCAGCCGCTGCTGGTGGAGCTGCCACTGCTCCTACCACCCCACCCCTCCCCTGCTGCCATGGCAGCGGAACGCGAGCGCACAGGGCCCACAGTGTCTGAGGATGGACGTTGGCGCAGAAAGGCAGAGAAACTGACTACATAGGTGGTTTTTATAGTACGTTATTTTGGCCTCCCTCTCAGCAGGTGTGAAAAAGGCCACCACTTTTGAACGGTAGCGAGGGTCCAACAAGGTGGACAGCCAAAAGTCATCCCTCTGTCTGATGGTTATTATTCGGCTGTCACAGCTACGCAAGCAACCGAGCATGCTATGGGCCATTTGTGCCAAGGAATGCGAGGGACTCCCTGCCTCCATCTCCACAGCATACTGCCACGGTGCGTCTGGGTCCTCTGTCTCCTCCTCTTCCTCGTCTACCAGATGCTCCTGCTCCTCCACTCCTGTCCGCTGAATGGAAAAACCACCCATTTCACTCAATAATTCCTGAGCACCAATGTCCTCCTCTACCTCCACCTCTTCTTCCTGTCCTGCCACCACAGGGCTCATGTGGCGTTGAGATCTGTGCGCCATGTCTACCGCACCCTGACCAGCCATTGTTAACAGCATTTGTTCCAGGACATGCAACAGAGGAATGACGTCGTTCATCCCATAGTCCTGCCGACTCACGAATAGCGAGGCCTCCTCAAAGGGCCTGAGCAAGCGGCAGGTGTCACGCATGAGCTGCCAATGGCTGACATCTAAGTTACACAGGGGAGTACCTTTATCCGCTTGTAACATCAGGAAATCGGTGATGGCCTTTCGCTGTTCGTAAAGGCGGTCTAACATATGTAGGGTTGAATTCCACCTTGTTGCAACGTCACAGCATGAGGAGTCGATACGGGGGCCCATGGCAGATTACGGGCCTGGCAGCAGCAATGGGAGGCCCGTAATCTGCCAGCACCCTATGACAAAATGGAACCCACCAGCAGTGTGAGGAGACCTGAAAGTGGCACATGGCAGAGTGTGGCGATGGAGACAGCAGCAATGGGAGGCCGTACAGGGACCCATGACACACTCTGGACCTGGCAGCAGCATGAGGAGTTGGTACGGGGGCCCATGGCAGATTACGGGCCTGGCAGCAGCAATGGGAGGCCCGTAATCTGCCAGCACCCTATGACAAAATGGAACCCACCAGCAGTGTGAGGAGACCTGAAAGTGGCACATGGCAGAGTGTGGCGATGGAGACAGCAGCAATGGGAGGCCGTACAGGGACCCATGACACACTCTGGACCTGGCAGCAGCATGAGGAGTCGGTACGGGGGCCCATGGCAGATTACGGGCCTGGCAGCAGCAATGGGAGGCCCGTAATCTGCCAGCACCCTATGACAAAATGGAACCCACCAGCAGTGTGAGGAGACCTGAAAGTGGCACATGGCAGAGTGTGGCGATGGAGACAGCAGCAATGGGAGGCTGTACAGGGACCCATGACACACTCTGGACCTGGCAGCAGCATGAGAAGGCGGTACAGGGGCCCATGACAGATTACGGGCCTGGCAGCAGCATGAGGAGTCGGTACGGGGGCCCATGGCAGATTACGGGCCTAACAGATGACGACGAGGCTGCCAAGTGCGATCAGCCTCATCATCATCAATTAGGGTCTCCGCCTCACTACTAGCCCCCTCGGCTGCGTGTGGGTCAGGAGACAGACCTGTCTCTAGACCGGCTAACGAGCCACTCTCCTCGCCAGTACTTATTCGCCTGGCTGCTGAAGAGGCGGATGTCTCCCCCCGTTCCTGACCGCCCTCTGTTAGCTCTTCCTCACTGTACAGTGGGGCTGAGCCCACAGCATGCGATACTTCGCTTGGTGAGGGAACACCAAAGGACAGGGGCAGGTAGAGGACATGTGATTTCAGTGGGCTTGCTCCCGGGCCATGCCAACTAACGGTTGTGTCTGACGTACCCACCGACCGTTGGCTGTAGGTGTCAGAGGTGACCTGGGAAGAGGAAGACGACCGAGCCAACCAATCGATGACGGCAGGGTTGTCGGTGGAGACACGACCGCTGGATGACACCGGGAGCACTGGCCTCTGGCTGCGACTAGTGCTGCCTCGACCCCTTTCCTCTGCTGCCACGTCGCTCTGCTCGCTCCTGAAACATTGCCTCCTCTGCCACTCCTCTGCGTGTTGTCATACTCTTTAATTCATACGATTCTGTGTCCCTCAACGATTCTGTGTCCCTGAGTAACGATTCTGTGTCCCTGAGTAACAATTCTGTGTCCCTGAGTAACAATTCTGTGTCCCTGAGTAACGATTCTGTGTCCCTGAGTAACGATTTCTGTGTCCCTGAGTAACGATTCTGTGTCCCTCAGTAACGATTCTGTGTCCCTCAGTAACGATTCTGTGTCCCTGAGTAACGATTCCGTGTCCCTGAGTAACGATTCTGTGTCCCTGAGTAACAATTCTGTGTCCCTGAGTAACGATTCTGTGTCCCTGAGTAACGATTCTGTGTCCCTGAGTAACGATTCTGTGTCCCTGAGTAACGATTCTGTGTCCCTGAGTAACGATTCTGTGTCCCTGAGTAACAATTCTGTGTCGCTGAGTAACAATTCTGTGTCTTCTGTCCCTGAGCAACAATTCTGTGTCTGTCCCTGAGTAACAATTCTGTGTCCCTGAGTAACAATTCTGTGTCCCTGAGTAACGATTCTGTGTCCCTGAGTAACGATTCGGTGTCCCTGTGTAACGATTCTGTGTCCCTCAGTAACAATTCTGTGTCCCTGAGTAACGATTCTGTGTCCCTGAGTAACAATTCTGTGTCCCTGAGTAACAATTCTGTGTCCCTGAGTAACGATTCTGTGTCCCTCAGTAACGATTCTGTGTCCCTGAGTAACGATTCTGTGTCCCTGAGTAACAATTCTGTGTCCCTGAGTAACAATTCTGTGTCCCTGAGTAACGATTCTGTGTCCCTCAGTAACAATTCTGTGTCCCTGAGTAACAATTCTGTGTCCCTGAGTAAAAATTCTGTGTCCCTGAGTAACAATTCTGTGTCCCTGAGTAACAATTCTGTGTCCTTGAGTAACGATTCTGTGTCCCTCAGTAACAATTCTGTGTCCCTGAGTAACAATTCTGTGTCCCTGAGTAACAATTCTGTGTCTGTCCCTGAGTAACAATTCTGTGTCCCTGAGTAACAATTCTGTGTCCCTGAGTAACGATTCTGTGTCCCTGAGTAACAATTCTGTGTCCCTGAGTAACGATTCTGTGTATCTCAGTAACAATTCTGTGTCCCTGAGTAACAATTCTGTGTCTGTCCCTGAGTAACGAATCTGTGTCCCTGAGTAACAATTCTGTGTCCCTGAGTAACGATTCTGTGTCCCTGAGTAACGATTCTGTGGCCCTAAAGTCTCTTTTGCCCTAACTCTGTCCCTAATACAGACAGGTCTGTCTCTCTTGAATGACCGGAGGCTAATGGAGAATTGTAAGATGGCCGCAATTTATAGCTCCACCATTACACAGTGCTGGCTGGCTGGCTGCTGATTGGCTAATGCGATCACATGTCATGAATGAATGCATTATGGGTCAGCGCGCCTTGTCTGCGCGCCTTCCCAGAGATTCCCCGGTCCGTCGCCACACATGTCGCCGCCATTTTTGGGAAAATTCGATTCGTGCATCCAAAGTTTGCTAATTTTCGGATTCGGCGCGAATCGAATTTTTCCTGATCTTCGAAACGAATTCCACTTCGCCATGTTCGATTCGCTCATCTCTAGTCCTGATGTGATAAAAATATTAAAAAGCTATATATATATCATGCATGTCTGTGTATCACCTGTTCAGTTGGCCTTCTTAGATGGATTATGTACAGATTTTTTAAATATCTTCTACGATTCAAAGAATGGATATGAAAAAGCCACATAATAATGAATAGAATTTCTAATTTATTTGTGTTTTTGTGTAATAAATTCACATATATACTGTATACTGCAGGAAAATGAACAAATGTGAATTGATCCTAACTCAGGCAGGGAAAAAGCAACAAATATTAATGATGCAAGTAATTAAAAAGGATTTGTTTCAAGGAACTGTACTATGCTAAAGATGTATAAAATGATAGCACACACCAAACATGGGTAGCTGTTGTTTTCCTCTATAAATGTAAAATATTGAGCAATACAGTTCTAAGCAAAGCACAGAGCACTTAGCCATTGTAGTTACAACCACTCTTCTTATCTAGCCATATGTCTGTCTATCTCTGGAGGGGGAAAATTACAAAACAGCTGACTCTCTGAATGGATAAACTAGTACAATATATAATTGCAGCCATATGGAGTGAATCAGGTGACAAAGACAGAAATTAGGATTTATTTTGCTACTCTGAAAAGTACATGCATTTCAATTATTTTATGTCTGGCTCCCTTGTAGCTTGCATGGCATTTTCTCAACAGAAATTTATTATTGTAATCCAAAGTTTACGGTTATTATTATATTTTTGGTGATTGCTATTCTTAGTGGGAACACAGCATTTTCTAAATGAATGTTTCTTGCGGCCAACAATTATTTTGTTTTTACTTGTAGACTTAGTCAGAGTTAAATATAATTATTGTTTCTCAAAGAAAATAGAAATATTGTAAGAAGTGAAACAACAACAGTATAACATTTTAGATAATGAGTCAACAGCAACATTCCTTTTTCACTGATTCAGAGCTTAAACTTTTCTGCACAACCGCTTTTTTGCTATTCATCCGAATGATCATATCTTATATTGGACTGTTCACTCTTGTGACTTTATATTTATTTACAAATATCACTTTCTCGCTGTTATTTTATTATATTATTCACGTCAGCGCTAAATTTGAGCGCCTCAGTTTGAATCTGCCACCATTGTCACTTTAATTATTCATTCATTTAGGCATTAGCACCTTGATTTAATCATATTGTATAATGCTGCATTTTACATTTTTTCACAAATATATATTTGCCGAAACGTTTACATTCTCCAGACAACATGATACCAGATTGGTAGACCAAGCATATATCCCTATAGGAGTAGAGCTACAAGCATAAATGTTCATCACCACCACCTTAAGTAACACTGTTGGAAAGTCCCTATTTACTCAGCATGCTGAAACGCAGGCTTGGGTCCCTTTAATTCCCTTTCCTACACTTCCCAGGGTTCCAGAGTATACCCATGGAAGGTACGTGTCTCTGCTTCCCTTCCTGAAGAGCTCACAGAGGTCACACTTGATGAAGAAGTATTAGGACAAGTGATCTTCAGCCACGCAAGAGGCCCTCCACTTTCAGAATCTGGATGCAGGCAGCCGCACCAGAATCTAATAACGTGTAACTTCTCCAAAAGACCCAGTTATTTTGGGGAGCTCTTTCTTCATTGCTACCAGAGTTCTGCAGCTTGAGTGGGGTGGTGCTTCATCCCTGGGCCTTGGCACTTCCAGCTGGTAATTTGTATTACCAGAGCTACCCTGTACTTCATTGTGGGGGTAATAACAAGTAACTGTCTTCTGTACTGTTTTAATGATGTAATTATTCTCAGCCTAAAGATGTATTAAATCTAAAAATGTATTATATGGTAGCTTACTAATCATTAGATGTGGTGGCTGTATCACTTTTCTTTTTTTAAGCTTTTTCCTTCTGTTTTCACCAGATGATTTAGCCAGTAACACGCATCCTGTATTAGTAAGACAGCACTCTGGAGAAATGAGCACAGGACACAGCAGACAGCAGCATTGCCAGTCTGGGGGAGATTGGAGTGTTAAATGCATTAGCAGGTTTGTATTCAATAACAAATTGAAGCCAAACTTCAGTTCACACTTTAATCGCTTCCAGTCTGCCCTATAGCAGAAATACTGCTACAGGGTGGTACAGGTGCACAAAATCACGTATATATACATGATTTTGCATTTCTGGATAGGAGGCGCGCAATGTACACGCACGCCCTACCAGTGACACCTTTCGCAGCTGCAGCTGTCAATCACCAGGTCCCGACCGGCAATTACTTGCCGGCTCCCGGTGATTGCCGAGCATCTCTGACAGGGGGGAGAACTGTTTGTAAACAGAGCACAGCCATGCAGAGCAGCGTGCTTACAGTGAAGCACACAGACACAGCCCCTAGTAAAACAGCACAGAGCATACTGTTAACCCTTTGATCACCCCACATGTTAACTCCTTACTGCCCAGTGCCATTAATACAGTGTCAGTGCTTTTTATTAGCACTGATCACTGTATTAGTGTCACTGGGGATGTCAGTGACACCAAGTCAGTTCCCCCCCAGTGTCAGAATGCTCGCCGCAGTTTCGCTATAGGTCGCTGATCATTGCCATTACTAGTAAAAAAAAAAAATAAAATAAAAAATCCTAGTACATATATCGCCATTTGTAAACACTATAACTTTCATGTAAAGCAATTAATTTACATGTATTGGGATTTTTTTTAAGCAAAGACAGGTAGCAGAGTACATTTTGGCCTAAATTTATGACAAAATTAGATTTTTAATTTTTTTACTGGACATGTTTATTAGCAAAAAGTAAAAAATATTGTTTTTTTCTCAAAAGTTTTAGTCTTGCTTTTTTCATAGCGCAAAAAATAAAAAGTGTACAGGCAATAAAATACCACCGTAAACTCTATTCATGGGAAAAAAGGACGTAAATTTAATTTGGGTGCAGTGTTGCATCACTTCGCAATTGCCAATTAAAGTAACACAGCGCCGCAATGACACAATAAATGGCCTAGTCAGGAAAGGGGGTAAATCCTCAGGAGGGCAAGTGGTTAAAATCAGTTACAGCAAACAGTTTTTTTTTTCCTTTTGGGATAAAGGTATTACCTGAATATATAAAAGCTGATTATGTTAAACACCCCTGCCAGTGGTAAATGGATTGTCTCATCCTTGCAAAGTGATATTCTGCTGGAGAACTGGAGAGCTTGAACTTTGAAAACAGCAGACTTGCTGCCTGAATGAAAGATGACAATAGAACAAAGAAAGTCTTAAAAAAAGGAAACTAATGCAGACATCACATCTAAGAATTGGTAAGCTGCAATATAATCAATGTTTGCTTTTGAGTTTAATACTGCTTTAACTCTCTGTCGTTATAGTCCAATATAAACTATGCTATGGGGCCACATGTTACCGATTGAGTCACAGAAATTCCTGTAAAGGGACTATGTTAATGCAGCTTTCATGTTTGTGCAGCTTTCATGATTTTGCTATGTATGCATGTTTTTTTGCCATCTCACACGTCTTGCATTATTTCTACTACAATTGCACCTTTTTAGTAAACTGCAAGTTATGGTTTCTCTCTGTATGATCACTCCTCCAACTTCAGTCAAGTATTGAACAATTCCAGGGTAATCTGCTTTAGTTTAGGAGAGGGCACAAGGATTAAATAAGAAAAATTAGAACACAATTTTCATTATTCAGAGATTCAGATGTATCCAAATTTCCGAATTAGAAGAGTAAGGAATTTAAACATATCCAAAATAACAAAACAAAATTTCGTCCAAAATAACAATTTATCCAAATTCGAATCAAACTGAGAATCTAAATTAAAAATGTAAACATATTGCTGAATATTGCTGATTTCCTTCAAAGACTACACTATAGGATCAAACGTTTTTGGACCCCTGACCATCTCACCTAGTTTGCTAAATATGCCATTCCAAAACCCATGAGCATTGATACACAACTGAACATCAATTTAGGACTATAACAGGTTTCATTGGAAAGTATGTTTGTGGGAATTTGGCCCCCTTAGTAAAAAGAGCACATGTGAGGTCCAGCAATAGGCATTTGAGAATATAACCCAAAGATTTTCAATAGGGTTATGGTCAGGCCTCTGTAAAACTCAGGTTCCTCCTCACCAAGCTTATCAAACCATGTCATTTTGGACCTGACTTTTGGGCACAGCCATGTCCTAAAACTGTCATCACAAGGTTGGAAGCCCACCGTTGTTTAACCACCTTCCGCCCACCCTATAGTACAATGACGGGCGCAAGGTGGTTCTCTCATTCTGATAGGACGTTATATGACGTCCTACCATCCTCACTGCGCATGCACGGCTCAGGGAGCGCGCAGCGCGGCGATCGCCAGTGTGCTGTGTCCCTCGGACACAGCGGACCACAGAAAGAGCCGAAGATGCCGGCTCAGTCCTGTGATCAGCTGTGTCCAATCACAGCTGATCACATGTAAACATGGAAATGCTGGTTATCGGCATTTCTCTCCTCTCGAGCTGTGGCGCTGACAGCTTGAGAGGAGAGCCGGTAATCGGCTTTCTGTGGAGGGGACATGTACACTGATCATCAGGGCACTGATGATCAGTGTGGCCCCAGAAGTGCCACCTGTCAGTGCTCATCAGTGCCACGTGCCAGTGCCCATCAGTGCCATGTGCCAGTGCCCATCAGTGCCACATCAATGCCACATATCAGTGCATACCAGTGCACATCAATGCCACATATCAGTGCCCATCTGAGCTGCCTTTCAATGTCACCCATCAGTGCCATTCAGTGCCACCTATCAATGCCATTCAGTGCCACCTATCAGTGCTGCCAATCAGTGCCACCTATCAGTGCCAGTCAGTGTCGCCTATCAGTGCGCATCAGTGCCAGTCAGTGCTGCCTATCAGTGCCAGTCAGGGCCACCTATCAGTGCCAGTCAGTGCTGCCTATCAGTGCCGCCTATCAGTGCCATATATCCGTGTCATGTATCAGTGCTGCCTTTCGGTGCCCATCAGTGATGCCTGTCAATGCCCATCAGTGCAACCTACCAGTGCCTCCTCATCAGTGCCCATCAGTGCAGCCTATCAGTGTCCACCAGTGCAGCCTACCAGTGCCTCCTCATCAGTACCCATCAGTGCAGCCTATCAGTGTCCATCAGTGCAGCCTCCTTAGCGCACATCAGTGAAGGAGAAAAATCACTTATTTACAAAATTGTATAACAAAAACTAAGAAAAAATGTTTTTTTTTCAAAATTTTCAGTGGTTTTTGGTTTGTTTAAGAAAAAATAAAAATCCCAGAGTTGATTAAATACCACCAAAAGAAAGCTCTATCTGTCTCAAAAAAATGATACAAATTTCATATGGGTACAGTGTTGCATGACAGCGCAATTGTCATTCAAAGTGTGACAGTGCTGAGAGCTGGAAATTGGCATGGGCAGGAAGGGGGTATAAGTGCCCTATAGGCTAGTGGTTAATATTTCTTTGTATGCTGTAACATTAACAAGAACCTTCTTCAGAAACACCTGCACTCAATTACTGTAGGAGGGGGTGTCACATAATGTTTGCCATATATTATGTGAGATTATCAGGTGTCCACAAAATTTTGATTATACAGTGCATGTGTATTAGTGTTAGAATATAGCCATCTTCCGAAATTCTAATTTTGAAAAGAATATAAAAAATGGAATAGACAATAATAGAAAGGAAAAGAATAGAATTAAAAGAGGAAATATAGCTGTCTTCAGAAATTCAAATGTTGAATAGAATAGAACCAGCTATTCTTCACAATGAATTTGGATCAATTCATATTTTCTATTTGAATTCGATTTGAATACTTCAAATCTATTGGAAAAATGTGGTTGAAAATGAATAAACAAAATAAAATTAATTTTGTTACAAATTCAACAAACTGAAATTAGTAACTTAACGAATTGATCCGAAACTAACAATTTATTTCATTCTACACATGCCTAACAAGGATGATGGCTTTTTTGTCTACAATTATTTTGCTATTCGTATAGACCATGAATGATTTAAACCATCATTTTAGAACTTATACCCAATTACCTGACATACAGTACTGCAAAATTACAATGATAACCAAATTTGTTCACCTAAATCAATAGTCACAGTATATCAGGTTGATTCCTTGAAAGCAAAAAGCCATACATTCTTTCCCATGTTCATTTACTTCAATGCACTGTATGCTCATTTTATGTAAGACAGAGTTAAGCTCTGTACATATGGGCCAAATATTGTCCGGTTCAATAGAAACAGGCCGACATTCGGCCCATGTGTACACCCGCCTGTCTGACAGAAGCTGGCCAAACTGGCTACTATCAAACAAGCAATCTGGAAAACCAGCATACGATCAATGCTGAAAGCCAATGGGGTGATTGCTATGCTAACATTGGATAGTAAGTACAGAAAGTTCCTCCCAAGCTTCAGTTTTTTATTTTTCAGCACACAGGGTTGAAAGAAAAACAAAAAAAATAGTGTGTACCCAACATAAGTCACACCCTCAATGAAAAGCATAAGTGGCAGCTGCTGTTAACATTTTGAGGTTGTTGCAGGAAAAAACTGGAACACAGAGCTGAAGCCAAGAATCATAGAGTGTAGTGTAAAAAAGGACAGATTAACAGAATGGGGGGGGGGGGGGTGTACAACCCTTTGTGGGTTTAAAGGACCCCACTTCCTCAGGGTCTGTGAAATGATTGTAATGGAAAAGACATCACTCTGCATTAAAACATGATATATTTCAACTACTTAAAAAATTCCCCATATATATCATGACCAAAAGAATATATATTTACTAATAGGATCAACAACTTGGGGTTTAGCAGACAGAAAAGGACATAAAAAAAAAGTATTGTGCTATTGATCTGTAAACCCTCCCCCCCATTCTACTAACAGTGCAAGGATTTGGAAAATAAACTGCTCAACAAAATAAAAGGAACACTTTGAAAACACATCAGATCTCAATGGGGGAAACATATCATGCTGGATATCTATACTGATATGGACTGGGTAATGTATTAGGAGTGTAAGGATGTCCCATCGTTTGTTGGAAATTAAATCGATCAACCTACAGAGGACTGAATTCAAAGTCAACCCAAAAACCAAAGTGAAAAAATTATGCAGAAGGCTAGTCCATTTTTGCTGAAATTTCATTGCAGCAATTCAAAATGGTACTCAGTAGTTTGTATGGCCCCCACGTGCTTTTATGCATGCCTGACAACATCAGGGCATGCTCCCAATGAGACAACAGATGGTGTCCTGGGCAGGGGCGGACTGACAACTCATAGGGCCCCCAGGCAATAGGGGATCATGGGGTCCCTGTGTCCTTGCCCACACTCAAATTACACCCCAAAAAGCCTATGAAAAGTACTAGGGGCATCTCACGGGGCCCCCTACTGACCCCGGTCCTTCGGGCAGTGCCCTAGCGCCCAAATGGTCAGTCCGCCCCTGGTCCTGGGGTACTTCCTCCCAGATCTGGACCACGGCATCACTGAGCTCCTGGACAGTCTGATGTGCAACTTGGCAGCATCAGATGGACTAAAACATGATATCCCAGAGGTGTTCTATTGGATTTAGGTCAGGCAAGAGTGGGGGATATCCAATGGTATCAATTCCTTCATCCTCCAGGAACTGCCTGCATACTCTCGCCTCATGACGCCGGGCATTGTCGTGCACCAGGAGATACCCAAGACCCAATGCACCAATGTAGGGTTTAACAATGGGTCCAAGGATTTCATCCCGATACCTAATGGAAGTCAGGGTGCAATTGTCTAGCCTGTAGAGGTATGTGCATCCTTCCATGGATATTCCTCCCCAGACCATCACTGACCCACCACCAAAATGATCATGCTGAACGGTGCTACAGGCAGCATAACATTCTCCACGTCTTCTCCAGACCCTTTCACACTTGTCACATGTGCTCAGGATGAACCTGCTCTCATCTGTGAAAATCACAGGGCGCCAGTGGCGGATCTGCCAATTTTGGTGTTCAATGGCAAATGCCAATCGAGCTCTATGGTGCTGGGCAGTGAGAATCAAGCTCACTAGAGGATGTTGGGCCCTCAGGCCAACCTCATGAAGTCTGTTTCTTACTATTTGGTCAGAGACATTCACACCAGTGGCCTGCTGGAGGTAATTTTGTAGGGCTAAGACAGTGCTCATCCTGTTCCTCCTTCCACAAAGGAGCGGATACCGATCCTGCTGATGGGATAAGGACCTTCTACGGCCCTGTCCAGCTCTCCTAAAGTAACTGTTGTCTCCTTGAATCTCTTGCATGCTCTTGAGACTGTGCTGGGAGGCAATAGGAAAAAAATGTCAGTGGCCTTCACCTGTAAAACCATTCCTGTTTTGGGGGTGGTCTCATTGTTGCCCGTCTAGTGCACTGGTTGTTAATTTCATTAACACCAAAGCAGCTGAAACTGATTAACAACCCCCTCTGCTACTTAACTGACCAGATCAATATCCCAGGAGCTTAAGTGACTTAATGCTATACTCTGATTAAAAAGCGTTCCTTTAATCTTTTTGAGCAGTGTATATCCAATAAAGATATGAGTAATAGGTAGTAGGGTTGGGATAACAATGTCAAGCTGTTATTGTAAAAGTTATTTTGTGTACAGGCTTTTTTGGCCAGAAATACTGCCCGCCCACACTACATTTACTAGACACAGTGAATTGTGGCTCCCCAATCCTGGCCACTTTGAGCAACAGGAGGATCATTTGATCTCTATGCATAACTGATTTGATGCCTATAGTGAATTTGTCACTCAAGCCCTCTGTTGTGATTCTATGTTTGGCCATCATTTATCTACTTCTGCTGCATTACAGGCTGCTTGATCCCACAGCTGTTCACTCCACACCTTTGGAAATCCCAGGCAGAGTGTACCTTGTTACATGGGCTGCTTTTCAATAAAAGGCAAAAAAGAAAGAAAGAAAGATTTTGTTTTAGATTTACTTGAGTTATCTTGATTTTTATTTATCGATGGTAGGACATTTCTATGGCTCATTCACACCTGATCAATCGTTCCCATATGGAAGAAAATATATTTGAAATATATTTTAAAAGTATTCTTTCCAAATATATTGCTATATATTTGAAATGCTACAATTTTGGCCATATTCAATATATTTTAAAATATATTTCAATAAATGTGTGTGTGTGTGTGTGTATATATATGTGTGTATATATATATATATATATACAGTCATGGCCGAAATTGTTGGCACCCTTGATATTTTTCCTGAAAATCAAGTATTTCACACAAAAAAGGTATTGCATTAACACATGTTTTGCTATACACATGTTTATTCCCTTTGTATGTATTGGAACAAATATAAAACAGAGGCAGAAAAGCAAATATGACATAATGTCACACAAAACCCCAAAAATGGGCTGGACAAAAGTATTGGCACCCTTAACTTAATATTTGGTGCACACCCTTTGGAAAACATAACTGAAATCAGTCGCTTCCTATAACCATCAATAAGCTTCTGACACCTCTCACCCGGAATTTTGGACCACTCTTCCTTTGCAAACAGCTCCAGGTCTCTCTTATTGGAAGGACACCTTTTCCCAACAGCAATTTTAAGATCTCTCCACAGGTGTTCAATGGGATTTAGATCTGGGCTCATTGCTGGCCACTTCAGAACTCTCCAGCGCTTCTTTGCCATCCATTTCTGAGTGCTTTTTGACGTATGTTTGGGGTCATTGTCCTGCTGGAAGACCCAGGATCTTGGACGCAAACCCAGCTTTCTGACACTGGGCCCTACAGTGCGACCCAAAATCCTTTGGTAATCCTCAGATTTCATGATGCCTTGCACACAGTCA